TCGACATTATAAGCTGTCATTTAATAAAAAAGACCTGTCATGTAAGAGAAAAATTGTGTGATATTGATGCATTTCACATACTATTAGAATTTAAATAAAACTTTTGAATTATGAAACTGACAACTGACACTGGCAATGATCTCCATATATTTTTATATTATTCTTATAAAATTGTTGCTAGCAAAACACAAGTCACAGCAGTTAAAGAAATGGCAACCAAGTTCTCTTTGGCAAAAAGGTATGCATTGATTTTAATTTCATAATCATGACATTAATCCACGTCAATAAAAATGTGCCGATATTAGAATTATTATTTATTAACAATTCAGTCATTTCAGTCACACTTTATTAAAGAAAAATCGCATGCAAATATGACACATATTTGTAGTTGAGTGTTGTTTATGCAGTGAAAATTTCAACAATTGATTAACTTACTTTAAATACATGTGGCAGGTTTTTTAATTTCTTTTGAATGAGAATTGCATAATAGATTTTTTTTTAAATTACTTAAATTTTCTATACTGATCAAAATCATTATTGCAAGTTTGTCTGAAAATTCAAGTTGATCACTTATCCTTTATACTATACTGAAACAATTTGTTTTGTTTTAAACAAAGTTACAATAAGACACTAATATTGTTTAGACAATCATAGATACATCTTAGGTTTTCTGAATATCTATCTAACAATATGTTTTCTACTTATTAACACTATTTTTGCCTTGTCCATAGTAAAGTTCATTCTTTCATTTCGGATGTCGAACCAAACAGAGAAGGAATAGCTGTTGAAGAAACTTCTCGAGAAGAAAGTATTTCAGCTGTTGTCCTAGCACTTGTTGTTTCCCTTATTGTATATGTATTCTTGTCAACCATTTTTACTTCACACTGTTTTGCAGCGTGTATCTAAAAAGTAGATTGGATACTTCTTAATGCAACCAACAAGATTTTTGTTATAAGAATGCTTCATAGCACAAGAATAATGATATAATTAAATTAACTTTATAAGTAATGTGCAAGTCGGAAACGAATACGTCTCCGACCCCAATTGCAGTCCCCATTAGGGGACTACACAAACTCTCCATGTTTTCTTTTTTTGCTGTTAAGCTGGTACTAGGTTGGAATAGCAGTTTTTGTAATTAACTGTCTTTTGATTCTGAAAACATATTATTATTATTAGCTTTATATATTATAGAATAGGTAAATTTACAATCATACAAATTAAACTGTTGACTTAATACCTCATTTAATATACTGATATTGCGCAGCTTGACTGTGCGTTTGAGTTTTTGCTCGTATTTCATATTTTTCACTTTGAAACAGTTCACCAAATCTCCGGTCGGCTACAAAACGAATAGAATATTATTACCTCGGAAATTTCACAATAGTACTAAGAGTGAAAAGAAAGACAGTAGTACTGGCAGTGAAAAGAAAGACAAAGTGTTGTTTTATACAGATTTATCAACTTACTTCAAAGTGATCTTCACAACAATAAATAGTGTAAACTTTGAAGTATCTCACGTTTACTTCACGACACCACTCGATCTTGTTTGGGTTATTTATTGAACCATTCTCGTAGGTATGAACAAAGCACTTTCTGTATTCCATAGCTGTGTTATATTTGGTAGTTTGTCTCCCGGTAGCGAAATTAAAAGTCGCAAAGATAATAAGGTTATGTTTACAAACGTGAAGTGACATTTTTTTTTGCGTTTTTGCTTTGCATTACGCACGGACAAAACATTATAGAGCCACTGATGACGTCATTGAATAAATATCATATCAAATGAAATAAATAAATATCAAATATCATAATATCAAATAAAGTTCAATACTATTTTTTGAAAAATAACTAGTGGAGTAATTTCACAAAAAATAATTGAATATCAATTCCATAAAAAAATTAATTAATACAGTGAATAGCGACATCTCTCACCAGGACTGGTAGCTGTAAAGGTACTAACTGGGTGATAAATCTGTTAAAGATTTCTCATAGATGGCGCTACGACTAAAAAGTCGTTGAAAGACCAAGTACAAAGACACGACGCAAGCACATAGAAAAATTCGTGAGGTCCGTTGGTTCGTTCCGTGGCTTAGTTGGTATAGCGTCTGGCACGGTATGCAAGAAGACGTCGGTTCGAATCCGACCGGATCGAAGGAATTTTTTCTGAGTATTTTTTCTGAGTGTTCGATCTTTGTATTAATAATTATAACAAACTAGTGGAGTAATTTCACAAAAAATAATTGAATATCAATTCAATAAAAAATTTAATTAATACAGTGAATAGTGACATCTCTCGCCAGGACTGGTAGCTGTAAAGGTACTAACTGGGTGATAAATCTGTTAAAGATTTCTCATAGATGGCGCTACGACTAAAAAGTCGTTGAAAGACCAAGAACAAAGACACGACGCAAGCACATAGAAAAATTCGCGAGGTCCGTTGGTTCGTTCCGTGGCTTAGTTGGTATAGCGTCTGGCACGGTATGCAAGAAGACGTCGGTTCAAATCCGACCGGATCGAAGGAATTTTTTCTGAGTGTTTTTTCTGAGTTTTCGATCTTTGTATTAATAATAATATAAATAATCTCAACGTAATATTGACAAACACATAGAAAATATTAATTAGCAACCTTATTCCTCGAAATGGATTTTGAAATAGAAAGTTTGAAAAAAAAAATGAACTGTGCCCATTCTTAATTCTTCATGAAATCAAAAGCCTTAATTAATTAACATACTTTTCAGTATATTAAGTTTTAAATATCATTCAAGTTTAATACAACATAATGTAGATGTAGATTGATTACATATTACTTCCATTTTAAAATTAAATTTTATTATGTCTCAATTTACATTATTTATATATTTATTATTATTTTAGATTAAGGACTCCTTGTTGGGTATAGGCCACCTCCACCTCCTGCCACTTAACTCTATCCTTTGCTAATTCTATCCAGTGTGGTTCTGCTATTGATAGGATGACATCCCCCCATCTGGTCCTTGGTCTTTCTATATTTCTTTTACCATTTGGACCCTTCCATTTTGTGACAGTGGCAGTCCATCTGCTCTCTAATCTGTTGATCTGACTACGTGTCCACCCCATTGACATTTTTGTTTTGTTACATATTGTAGGGCATCTGTGATTTTGGTTCTGGATCTTATTCTTTTGCTATTAATCATGTCGTTTATTCTTATTTTCAAGATATTTCTTTCCATACCTCTTTGTGTTTTTCTTAAGTTTGGTTTTGTTGGTGTGAGCCCAGATTTGACAGCCATAAGTCAAACTAGGTAGGATATGTTTGCCTATTACAATTTTTGTCAATGTTAGGTTGAAACCACCTGTTAATATTTCTTAATGGTTCCAGAATTTTATCCAGAATATGGCAATTCTACGTTCTATTTCTTCTGACGTGTTGTCGAGACTGAATGATACCCTCTTGCCCAAATATATATAGTGATCCACATATTCAATCTCCTCATTTTCAATTACCACATTAGATGTAATGCTGTTTGTAATGATTTTTGTGTTTGAATAGTTCATTTCCAGTCCTACTTTTTTCTTTCTGTATTGAGACTATTGAGCATTCGTTTCTGGCCTTCTATGTTTTCTGAGAACAACACTATATCATCAGTGAATGTGAGGTGTTTAAGGGAATTTTTATTAACTTGATGCCTTCTTTTTGCAAGTACCTGACAGGGGAGACTGATTATCACCAAAAATTCTTTATTGCTATTGCAAATACATCTTCATATTCTAAGAACTTCAGAACATATTTCAGACACTGAACTTAATTTTTCATACATGTAAGTAATTGTAGTTGAAGCTAGTGTAATAAACAAATACTTGCTGATAGGAATTTTGCATTATGAGATTTCATTTACTGCGATAGAGATGTAGCCATAGCGCTTCATGGTGTCTCAGACAACAATTAGTAGTTTTCTGGTTTTAACTCCATTTGCATTGAGTATGTAGCAAATATAGCTAGACATTTTACAACTAGCAATATCAAATCGTGTTATGTGAATATTTTTAAATGATCCAACTCTAAAACCTATTTTCAAATAAGACTAAAGTCATAGGTGTCTCTGTGTCATGATGTCAGTAGTGAGTCTGACTATAGATAACTTTAAGTGTCCACACAAAGCCTATTATGAATTTATGACCCTGAATGATCTGTCCTTAGAAATAAATTGCACCATACTTACAAAATACTTATTGCAGTTAGACTTTTAATCACTACTTCCTAGGCTTTGTGAAATTTTATCTTAAACGGAAAAATAACAGATTATGATGATAAAACCCACAAAAAGTAATACATCCAAATAAGATTGTGGATAATATCAACTAATCAGAAAATAGCGTGAAAATATTAGAGTAAATACCCTATGGTATACATGTGTTTATTCACAGGGAATTCACCCAGTAACCACTTCTCAATTAACGCACACACTCTACAAACCTTTTTCTATAAGAGGACGTTATTTTAGCTGTGGTTGAGGGCAAGACTACATAGTTATTTTTCACAATTTTTTATCGGTTTTACCTGTGACCAAAATTCTGCAAGGCTATAGCTCTAATTTGAGGAGCTCGGAACAAAAACTGATATCACATTTTGACTTGTTTCTGAAAAGTAGTTTATATACATTTCTATGAATAATTTATCCATCCAGCACAGTAACTGCTAAATCCTTCTACAAAGTATGTTTCAAATGCACAGATCTGAATACAATGTGACAAATTCATTCAATGATACTATATAAATTTAGAATTAAAATATATCGAATTAATCAAATTTGTTCAGAAGCTCTTCATTTAAGTTCTCATTTGTACACACCAATAACGTGGTTTTGTCAATATTTATGTTAGTTTCTGCAATTCTATTATCCCTTCTCCAATTTTCACAATAGATCAGTAAATGGTCACAGTGATGAGGGGCTACATAGGCCGGAATTAAGCCATTATAATAATTATAGCTTCTGCAAACTGCTGATTCAAAATAACAGACTTACCGTGAGAAGTGTTGGCCTGCAACTGCCTACGCAGGTGCGGGGGGATGTAGCGGCCAGCACTCTTAGGAGCCTGAGGCTGCAAGTCCAGACCAGCAAGCTGCCAACAACATGACATTATTGAACGGATTTGTATGCTCAGACATAAAATCCAGGTGTATAGACAAGCAGCAAGATGGTTCCATGACAATAAGCTCAACTAAATAATGCAGTGAAACACTGAAGACGTCTTTTGGTGCTCCAACTCTGTTGTAAAAAGATAAAGTTTTTTATTGCCTATATTTATGACAATCATCTCCATTTTTCCCAACAATCATAAATTTTTCTCATCATCTTAGGATCAAGAATTTATTTTAATAAAATGACTAATAAGTTAAATTAGTTGTTGATGAAATAAATGTGCTGAGTAATGTTAATGGTGCTTATTATACTTCTCCTACAGAGATTTAAATATACCATGATAAATCTTGTCCAAAGTTATGGAATGCCTGAAAGATTTGAGATAATATCCATTCCTCTTTTGTCCATCTAAAGTCATGACCTACTTTAGTATTCCTGAGGTCAAGCAACCTTTTTAAACAATGAGACACTAAATTCAGTAGCCAATGCAATGTAGCCAGTATAGAATTCTAAATATACTTATCACCATAAGAAATTGGCATTGAGGTGTAACAAATTGTAGCTGAGCATAGCCACTGTAATTCAATAATATAGACAGGTATGTATAACACTACCAAATGGATCAAAGTATGAATTACATTCAACAGATATTCTGTACTTACAACAAATTCATCCTAATTGACAAAATTTGCAAAACATGCAATATTTGGTGTCATTTAATTGCGAAATTCAATTTCCTCCCGCCACTTCAATGACACGCATGTGATGTGAACGTGACAATGACCTCACAGAAATCGCTTTAGGAAAATTCCTATGATTCATTACAGGATACCTTTGTGCTTTAGACATAACCAATAATCAGAAAAATCTATCAGGGATACCATACAAGAGCGGAGTCGCCATGTTGGTTAGGCCAAGACACGAAGGCATTAGGAATTCATTGTTCGAGCCTGTAGACAAGCAATTGAATTCTTACTTGGGCTATTACCGACACCATCTTGTAGCGGTACGGAGGAAAGGGCTGCTGGCGGTGAGATTTCCATTCAATAAACTAAAAATCAATACGGATTACATGAGGTACCGACCTGCTGCTCTAGACCTGTTCCATTTTGGTTGGTAACATTACTCATATTACTACCAAGCGGTACGTTTTTTTGGGAACTTTGCTCCAAAAATACTATTAACACAGTCTACAATTAATTTTGCACAAACACAAATTCACAAAATCACATGAAAAGGCTTCAATTTTTCTCCGAAATCACTTTTCATTCGCAGTTTTTGTTCTTCACACGGATTTAGGGTGTAGGTGAAGACTAAAAAAAGTGTGCTTTGTAGTTCATTCCTTTCATTCACCATTCGCTCAATTTTCAAAGTATTGCCATAAATTATAACTAAAATACCCCAACTTATGTTACGCACAGTATTTAATTGTGTGCCTCTGAACAATAAATCATGTAAAAATAAATAATACGAATCATTGTACTCTTTTAAAATTTATTCAAACGTGCGATTCGACAAATTGCATTAATACTCGGTTAATTTTTAACACGGTTTCAACATCAGGGATATGATTTCCAGTTTGCTGGAAGAAATAAACTTTTATGGCAACTCAAATTGCTTATGGATTTTTTTTTAATTCTTACTACTTACTTCCGGTAACAAGTTTCCTATGGGGCCGCTAGATGTCGTATTATTTGACATAATGTTACCAAACCTCTTTCTTTTACAAATTTTACTGTACTGATGATGTTAACAACCCCCTATTCATTTTGGCCTTTTGGTTAGTCGTCCCGAAGGACGAAAAATTTTATACACCATTCCATTAGGGATGGGCAACAAATAAAAATATATCGATATATGTCGTATCGATATTTATAAACAGTATCACTATTTTCTGATATAAATATATCGATATTTTCCGAATACCAATAGTAATCAAAAAATATTTCCAAACTATATTTACTTATACTTATAAAGTAAAATTTGGGAAATTTAAGACACGTGTTAAAGTTGTTTTTTTTATTAAAGACCACGTAAAAAAAATACTTTTTGTTAACCTACGAGCGGATATGAAAACATTAAAGAGGCGAACATAAACATAAAGCTTTGATCTGGAACAACCTTGAGATTGTACCACAACTTTTGCCTCAGTAATCAACACGTATCTACCTAAGCTGTTCAATAATTTTATACACGCTCGACTCGACATATTGTTATAGCAGGCAGATGGCAGTACACGCAAATTAAAATTACAATATTTTTACACATACAGGGCGATAAAAAAACCACTGACCAGTATAAAGGAGCATACAGTATAATGGGAACAAAAAAAATATGTTTAGTTTTATTTTCAAATACTTGACAAATAAATAAGTTATGACGTCTCAAAGTTTTCCGAAAAATTATGAACAATATTGACACCTGAGTATTAACAGACAACGTTGCTACAGCTATAAGAACGGTGTGGGGCAGTAGACGGAGTCAGCGCGCCAGTTCATGTATATGACAGACAACAAAGTATTAAATTGACGATGCCTTAGCGCGCGTCTATCATCACGCGGTTCATCGTGCTGGCGCCTATGCGTCTAGATAACTTGGCGCCGATCGCTCAATTTTATTTTATATTTTGAGGTAACCACGCGTTAGAAATTTTTGTGAAATATTAACATCAAAAAATGGTGAATTTTTTGTTTTATTTCAGTAATGTGTAAAAAAAATACTTGTGAGTTTTTATCACTCTGTATAAATAGTTATATTGAACAATATTATTGTAGTTTTTCAGAAATTCTAATTTCGTTCTTTCAATATCAGGGGTAGGCAGAGGTATTGTTAATAATATTGTCGTGTGCGGACGCAATACAATATAAAAGCCTTTTTGTGGCTAAAGCTGAGCAAGTCCCGATTGCACCATGGGCAACACGCATGACGGTGAATTAGGTACTACACTATCAATAGTTTTAATTTTCAATTTATTTTATATTTTATTATTACTGTATCATTATTTATTTTAGACTCTCGCTTCTCCGAGAGCCTAAAAGATTAATTTTGAATTGTTATTATTATTATTACTGTTGCTATTGCGATTGCTATTGCTATTGCTATTGCT